TCTCTTACTTGACAATCGGGTGTTTAATACAATTTGCAGGAACAGCACCAGTAAGGTAGCTACTATGAGGGCACGTTTCAAAATGAATACCCTTCTTCAGTAGGTCTTGGTAGAGTACTTCGTCATCGACAGCCCTGTACCCATGACCGATTCTTTCTACATGAAGGAATTTCACGTGTCTATCAACACTACTCGGAGGTCCAGCTTCTCCTGTATGTGCTGTTCTGTGGATTCCTAGCTGTGCTGCCCTCTGTTGGATGATAGTAATAAAAAATTAGAAGGCATCAATTCCAACATTTCATCTATTTATTTGTTTCTTTTAGAGCACCGCAGGAATTGAACACCGGATTTTAGAATTGTAAGTCGATAAACTTACCGCTGTCCCACCGGGGGGACATACTTCATCCGAGGAGGGATGCAGTTGTTTTCAATATCTTAAAAATATGCTTTATATGTGAGTTTTTACCGATGTTAGTAGCTTATGGAAACTGCTTTGGACAACTAGCTGTGTTATGTTATTTATGTTCTAACGATGAACTCTGTTCTTATTTCTTAGGTTTTATTATCCAATACCTTCTAAACCATTTCGAATGTGCGTTATGTTTTTCTTAGGTGGATTCCTCAGATGCGTTAAATTAAAAAACAACATCAAAGCTACGTAACTCGGTTTTTTAGTATATATTAAAAATTCTTCCTGATTTAGCAGCTTTATTATTTTAAGTCACGATGAATGATTCTAGGAACTAACACCCATATTGATTTTAACATACTTTGATATGTAAGGTACCCACCTACGAAATACGAGATTTTAGGATACGACAAATGTTCACTTTGAGCTGGTGGTAGTATAGTTTTTTTTTGTATCTGCGTTTTCAAAGGTAGTCAAGTATGAATAATTAAAAATATCTTTATTCAAACCATTGTTTTTCACCCATCTTTTAAAAGTAGTAATACAGTTAGAGCTAAGTGTTAAAATCCTCACATCTTTCATGGCTGTTATTCAAGTTTATATATTTTTTGTTATTAGCAGTTTTATTTGTTTTCTACAGAACGGTTATTTATTTAGGTGACTGTATATGCAGACTGTGTTAAAGAAACTAAATTACGCTATCTTAAAAAAAATACCGTTCAATACAACGCTGATTCTGTGAAACAAAGAAAAGGGATGATTAAATTTTATCTTATGCATTTCTAATCATATAATCTATTGTTATATTGTTCGATTACAATAAATGTGATCTATATAATTGTTTTAGTTATGTTACGTCTCCGTTTGTTAATTGATTTTCCGTAACTTCGTTCCGACGAAACTTTAGCGACACAAGTTCTTACTTGATAAAACTGGTTTATTCTTTCCGAATCCAACTTTACGATACACTTATTTTCAACAGTCGCGCTATAACAAACTATAATAACGACGTTAACTTCAACAATACGTTTCTCTCTGACTGCAGTTCAATTACTCATTACCTACACACATTATTGTCCCGTCACGTTGTCACCCTCTTATATATACCAGACTACCCTATATCTAGTAATCTCCCGACAATTCGCGAAGGTACAAGATATTTCCAGAAAGCAGGGGGCGTGACACTAGTCACGTGACCTCGCTGACGCAACAGTTACATTTAATAACATAATGAAATACAATCGACAGTTTTTATATTTCGTTTGTTTGTTGTGAAGCACAAATCTACACAATGAGTTATCTGTGCTGTGCCCACCAAAGGTATGGAAACTTGATTTTTAGCGTTATAGAAAGCAATTCGTTAGAGGCTCTTGTCAAACTTATGTTTGAATACAATTCACTGCTTTCGAGCACTAGAAATACTTTATTCCTCAACAAAAATACATATATAATAACGTAAAGTTTCAAAAACCGAGTAGAAAGAGGCCCTGAAGTAATCATAACTTTTCAGTTCTATTTGGTAGCTGAAATTTATCAACGTTTTTGTCAGCTTAACTAGTTCTGATATTTTTCAATAAGTACAAAGAAAAGAAGAAAAGGTTAGATAACTTATTTTTCTTTACAACCAGGGAAGTCAAAATTTCCCGTTTAATAATATTTCCACAAATATTTAATAACATTATAAAATGATTGTTAAATAATTCTTTTCTTTTTATTTACGCAAAAAAAAAGAAAAAATATATTCTCTCTTCTGTTTGCTGGGATCTAGCTAATCGATCTTTTAATAAATAATTATTTTTGGACATGGAAATAATAATAATAACAACACTATTACCAAGCGCAATAATACAAACCTGAAATACTTCAATCACTTCCTTCCTTAGTCCCTCTTCTCCCTCCAAGTCCTGATTTGGCCCAATCCACGGCCCACTTAGTCCAATCCCAACTACGGACTTGTCTTTGAATTCTTCACATAGTGACAAAACCTCACGAGCTTCGTCTTGAAAAATGTGAGTGGGGTAAAGTGGTTGTTAAGCATAAAGTATTATTAACAAATGTTACCTACTTGTGCTTTAAGATTTACGACCTTGAAAACCCTTTTGTTTTTATTTGAATTTTGACAAATATGTTTTTTTTTGTTATCTTTCGTGATATCACAGCAGATTTTAATATTGAAATCAAACTAGCAACTTACTTCAATATCAATATCAAACAGTTTGTATGTATTAATCCTGAAGAAGCTGTAAAAGCGAAACGTTGGTAGTAATAAAAAAACAAATATATTTACATCTGGAATGTAAAGGTCGTTTATCTAAACTTTTATAGCAACTTAGTTATACAACTAGCTGAAACACTCGTTTTTTTTGTTTTTTTTTTCGTACTGTTGTCCTGTCCATCCTTCTGGAAAAGATGAAATATTAAAATAGTCATTTAGTCCATTTTGATAAAAGGTATTTTTTCTACACCCTCTCACTCTCTGTACATTTCTCAATAAATTAGATGAGCAAATCAATCTGAGTATCCTTTACATCATCTAGAATAACTTGAAAACACTTTTATCTTAAACCCATTTGAAAATAGTTTACTATCATCTCAATGACTGACTGATAGAAGTAAAACACTCCAGCTTATAGTCTTTAAACTACTCTTGTCTAATCAAAAACAAGCTGGGTCAACTGTGGATTTACGGACTTAAATCGCTAAAATGCGGGGTTCAATTCCCCATGGTTGACATAGAGTAGACAACCCATTAGGTTGGGTGTGACTAAATGCTTAGCGTCCCCGGACTGTAAATCCGATGGATTCATGGTTTGTGTGCCGTTGCAAAAAAAAAACGCGCTCTCCATTTGGGCCCATGGGTGCGTTATAGGAGTGACGGTTAAATTTCACTATTCAGCTAGATAAGAGTTGGCGGTTGGCGCTATTTACTACATATCTTCCCTCTAATCTATCAGTTCAAAATTGAGAAAGGCTATGCGCAAATAACCTTTGTGTAGCTATGTGCGAAAGAGCTAAAATACAACAAAATACGGTTTATCAGAAAATTGGGATTTAAAGAGTTGACTTAGGTTAGCCTGAAACAAGACCCAAGCCATAAATTCATGCTGCGAAAATACAAGTTAGCCAAGACAACAAATGTGGAAACAATTTAATCTGTTTATATTATCATATACCAAACATCTTTCTCAAATATGTTTTGAGGAACGACTGGGTATTTCAAACGATGAATATACTCCAACATGCAAATACCTCTACATGCAAAAAAAAAAGAAGCTGCATAAGAGAGTCTTAAAATTGAAATGTCTTTTTAAAAGTAACTATCACCTTTTTATTGTTGGAAACAGCCTAAATATTCGCACTGACAAGTCAAACAGACACTGAATTTAGCCTAAAGTATATTGTATAATAACCATTTTCCCTTACCAGGGTTTTCTCTACCACAGTTGAGAAGCGAACGCGCTTTTATGCCATAGTCTTGTTCTGCCCGCTGAAACCCTTTCGTTACGAGTTCGAGCACCATTCTGTAGGTCACCGTTTCAGCACTGGAAAGACCATCGCTTCTTATGATGCTGGCCAGGTTCGCAGGTCGATAATGAACCTCACTGTATACTACACCTTCTCTGGCTTGTTGTTCAGCCATCTCGTAAGCTATCCGCTCGATAGCTGTGCAGTTTCCTCTGAAGGAAGCCACATATTATCCCTTATGTTTCATGAGTTACAATATTGAAAAAATATAATTTTATTTACAAAATGGGACCTTTTTTATTATTATCGAGAAATCATATTAGTAAGTTTATTTTTTCAAATTTAGTCGTAAAATTTGAAAAAGAATAAACGAAATCAAATTGAATTTCTACCTTACAATACAATCTTATTTTATTTTGTTTTTTTTTATCAGAATGATAAAATTAACTGAATTAAGAGACGTTACTGTATAGACCAAGATTTATCATTCCTTTAGGAAATGAATCCTGAATAAGTGGTACTAATAATATCTATCGACTATCTTTTTTATTTCGAGTAGATTATAGAGTAGTTTTAATTTAAGTTTAACGGTCTTCATTTGCTTGTTTTGAAATTTGTTGGAGGTTTATCTATCATTCTGTTAACGCAGGTCTTTATCTTTGTTAATTAGTGTTTCAGTTAAAATGCATTTTAAAAGACACCTGGTAAAATATGGAATTTCAGTAATTCAAAATTTAACATAGACAAAAAAAAAGCAACGTCATATTGGCAACAGAAAGTTATATTTATTAGCACAGTAAAATACAACGTTTTATGTTGTTTTTTTTATTATTTACGAAATTTGTGGGCTTCTCATAACATGTAATCACCGAAATTCAGCTTTAATACGAGGAAGTTTGTTTTGAATTGTGTCTCTGATCTTGTGTCTTACTCATAATTAAGCCCTTTTTCAAACTGTTTTTCTTCAACATGTCACAATCAGTGTCAAAACTTCTTCTCTGGCCTTAGTGACAAGTAGGCAAGTTTACTTTTATGAATGTTCAGAAGAATGTGACAAATATTAAGAAAACTGATTAAGGATGACAATTTTTGAAACTTGCAGAGATAACAACTTTACACCAACGTTTTTCAGACTTACAAAAATACGGAGAGGAATATGGAAAGAAAAAAATACCATTTTGAGATATGATTTAGTTTATTTCCAGCATAAAATGGCAATCATCATGGCAGAGACAACAGAGAAAAAACACTCTAGAAAATGAAATAGAATAACAGTAAAAAACTAAATCAAATAAACCTTAAGAGAGATTACGCAACTGAGAATAATATTACAAAAGACACCGACTCTAGAATAGAACAGAAATATCCCCACTAATCAAACAACTAACTTTAATAATAATAATAATAATAGATTTCCAGTAAAACGAAAGGAATTACCTCTAATACTGTTTTAAGAAGAATTCCCTTTCCCCCTCTACAAAACGTTAGTAATATCTAAATAAAAACTGAATTAAAGCTTATCCAAAAGTTAAATTGACAAGAAACAAAATGGCCATCAAACATAGTACAAGTCACCATTATTTCTGATCTAATCAAGATAGATCGTTTTAGATATCCACAAATTCAATGGAAGCAAAATAAAAGTGTAGAGCTAAGAATTTTTCAGGCCACTTTTTCATGTCTAAAACCAAACAGGAGTGGTTTGGTTTGTTCGAATAATCGCGCAAAGCTACTATTTTTGAACTTGTATACTTGACCAGTATTTCACATTGGTGCAGCAGAAGGTAGGCTAGAAAAGCGTTAGTTCTCTTTCTTTAGAAGTTAGTATAAGACAAAGTGTAAAAAATATCAACCATAATGTGAATTTGCTGAACTTTGAAGTGTATTTGGGTAGGTACGTAAGTTAAAGTTAAAGAATTGCTATTAATAATCAAAGAAGATAAATCTAGGTTTCTCTTACACTTATATAATAGAAATATTTCAACGTCTAAGGCATTGCGAGAAATTTCTTTGCAGCTTGTTTTGATTTGAAGTTTATGTTAATTGAACTGCAGAAATAGTTTCGAACAAGTTCTTTCATTCACTACTCTGTGAAGAGTGTGCTATCAGCGCCGTATAAAATGAATAGTTGTTTTTTAAATAAAATATAATAAAGTGTTTCAGCGGTAGGTTTGAGGACTTATAAATCTAGAAATCAGTGTTTAATATCTGAGATAAGCAGAGATAGTACGTTTTGTAACTCCCTGTTGTTAAGTAGTCACTAATGTCATATCATATTTGATTATGTGTTTTCTTTGCAGTATGAGATATGAAACTCTTTCTCTTCTAAGAGTTTGCGTTCTTCTCCGTTACTTTGAAAAATAATTGTTAGTTTGTAGTTTAAGCACAAAGCTACACAAATGGCTATCTGTGCGAAACGCGATTTCTAGCGTTGCAAGACCACAGACTTTCACAAACATTTATATCATAACTTCAACTGAGATATTTACATTTATATCGAAGTTACAACATATTGGCTTATTTAATACTTTATGTAGTTAAAATAAGTTGTTTGAGAAACAAAAGCTGTGTGTGTGTCATTTTCTCATCTACCTAATACTCTTTAGTAATATAAGTTGTTTGATCTGGCGTGTAAAACAACTGATTAAAACCTATTTACTTACTTGATTAATGGTAAGTACCAGGCCAATGGTTTTAAGTGGTTACTCAGGGTACTTGGTTCCTTGGTTACACATTCTTTCTTGAATTCGTCCAGTGTCTTAAAAGGCAGCTTATGTCTATTGTCCCTGGAATGTTTTTTGATATTATTACAACCTTTTTACAACCAGAATTATGAATTAGATACTATGATATATCTATGTCTCAACACAGTCTCACAGCATTAAGACGAATAATGAAATCCTCATTTATGTACTTTTGTGTGCGTAACGCTTGAATGATAGTAGTTCCATAGATATTATCACGTTTGTGTGATTCAACCTCTAAAGCAGTTTATGCGACACATGAGCTAAAGGGACAGATCGAAGACCCCTGAATTTGAGTAACAGTCATCTAATTTAGAACTGCTGACCAGATGGAGAGCTATCGATCAACAGTGGCCTCTCGTGACTCGAACCTCGGACGTTTTAATCTAGCACCCGACAAGCTGACCATTAAAACATGCTCAACCCAACATTTTTGTAGATTTGGTAAAATAACGTTTATACCTTTTTCATGTCATTTTATAAAAATTAAATGACTATAGTCTGGAATCGACTAATATTGTTTTAATCAAAACCTTACTATTTTCTGTCTAATATGTTGGAATTAAACATCTGTTGAAGAAACGTATTTTATCTAAAATTGCCGATTCAAAACTGTTACTTCGTGACTCAGAAATCTAATTTATTGTAAATAGTAAATATTACTTTTTAACAGAAAAAATAAATAAATGACATTTTAAGATCAATAAAATTCCCTTTTTTTGTTTATTCTTGACCAGTATATATTTGTAGTTTATGTAGTATTTATAAAAAATGATATGAATTAAAATATTATCAGGTTAGCAGGAAAATGATTTGACCATTAAATTGGAAGGGAGAGGTTCAATTTCTTACGGCGATCTATGAACGGATAAGCCCCTGGAAACAATTGGAGTTTTCCAAAGTGAAAATGCAAAAACACGTGTCCTTGGCTTTGAGTTGTACTGTAGCTTTAAATCAACACAACAAATGAGTAAACCTGCAATTTGATTGTCTGATTCTTTTAATGCTCTGTGTGAGGAATCTCTTCCCACACAAATACACAGTAGGCGTCCCTGCTGGTCATCAACCTTGTAAGAGGTGGGAAATCAAACCACATAACTATCACAATTTAAATAATGGCCAGAATATTACGACTATTGTCTAATTTAATTTTCTCAAGTTTTGTGTTCCTTCGTAGATTGGAGATTGCTGTACTCTCAGTTGTGCGAACTAAAATATAAAATGACAAACAAAACAACCGATGACTGGTTCATTAATTGAATAAGATCTGAACTTACTGAGCTATTTCCCATAAAGTCAGTGCATGTGGTGAGAATTCGAGGTGAATATGAAGTTGAATCTGAAAAAAGAAATGTATATAAATATATATATATAGTTATGATCGCATGCACACCAAAGAGATGTGCTGTACCATATATGTGATACATAGAACTGGTATGTACTTAAGATAATACGTACGCTAAAGAGAACTGATATATACTTTAAATCATAAATACACCAAGCAGATCTGGAATATACTTAAGATAATACGTACGCTAAACAGAACTGATATATACTTTAAATCATGTATACACCAAACAGATCTGATTTATATTTAAGTTCATAAGTACCCCAAATAGAACTGGCATATGTTTAAATTCACATGTTCACCTAAAAGCAAAATATCCTATCAACGTTTTCATCTTTCGTCTTTGCACTCTATTTGATTGGGCAACAATATCATTACAAATAACTTTTAATACATTTGTCTGTGACATCTGTAGAACTTAGCACACTTCCTTGTGATATCTGCAAATAAAACCTACTGTATCGATATTCTAAATAATACGTTTGCCAATTTAAAAGAAACAACAAATACCAGAGTAAATGTGATATTTAGTGAGATATGTTTATTTTAAAACGTTTCTTTAAGTTATTCTAAAACACATTGAGTAAGCTCAATGTGAATCTTTAAATAATTTTTTTCTGAAATTTAATTTTAACATAATTTATTCATACGGCTTTTAGATTTAGATTTCCAGTGTTTGATACAAAAAACCAACAGTGATTAAAAAGGCTAAACGAATAACGGGTTGTCAAAGTGTAAACTTTAATCACCTTTTCTAAATCCCATAAAAATATATCATTTATTTGGAGAAATTTGTATTCTAAACATTTCAGTTGACATTACAATTTTTAAATATAGCTTCTTTCTTTTCCCTAACTATGAATTATAAAAAAACTCGACGTGCATTATTATTGATGTCACCAGTACTGTAGCATAGTGCAGAACCTAATGATATAGCTAAAAAATTCAGATCTTTATGAAAAGTGTATAATTTACATTTATATTTGTTTGTTTGCACTTCAGCACAAAGGTACAGGATTATCGAAACCTGGTTTTTTAACGTTTTAAGCCTTCAGACTTGCCGCTGAGCCACTGGGAGGTTCCATTTATACAGTATCACATTTAATTATTTGTTTGTTTA